TTAGAGTGTAATTGTTTTTTCCCCCCCCCCTGAATTCATGAGCTAGTTTCTGGTAAAAAAAAAAATACACCTGTCACAAAAACTGTCAGACACATTTTGATTTTGTTCTTTATAATTTCTTTTTTTGTGGCTTATTGTGGAGAATACTCCACATGTGTTGTCACATGGAGTCTAAAAGACAAACTTCTAAGTTAAACCTAAGATGGTAAAAGTTGTAAATTTTGGACCCTGGTCAATTTGTAGTTTGTGTGTTTTGTCCTGTAGAGGGCGCTGGATTTACACTGACGTCTCTGATCCTGCTGCATCAGTTGGAGGATAAGATGAAAGCGCACCGCTGCCTCATGGACTTCCTGCTTCAGGTTCCTCAATAGCCACACAGTCTATGAGATACGCTTTCATTCTTCTCACAGTATTCAGCAGTGCTCTTTCTTTCTTTCTGTCCGCTCCTGAAAGAAGTCTCTTCTGCTCACCAAGGCTGCATATATGTGCTCAAAATGCATTAAAATCAGTAATATTGTGAAAAAGTATTACAGTTTAAAATAACTGTTTTCTGTTTGAATATATTTTAAAATGTAATTTATTCCTGAGATCAAAGCTGAATTTTCAGCATCATTACTCCAGTCTTCAGTGTCACATGATCCTTCAGAAATCATTGTTTAAAAAAAAGTGACAGTAGAGACATTTATAATGTTACAAGAGATTTCTATTTTAAATAAATTAAATAAATAAATCTTTTAAATAAACAAATTAAATAAATCCCGAATTTTTTTTTTCATGTTTTAAGCATCAGTTTTTTCAATGCTGATAATTTAATATTTAATATCAAATACATTTTTTAAATGTATTTAATAATTGTATAATTTGTAAAGCAAATTGTTAAAAGTTTTTCCTACAAAACTAAATATGAAAGAATATTTTGCACATCATCATCATCTTCCAGTTTGTGAAATGAATAATGTTGTTTTGTGTGGTAGGATATGCTTCAAGCAGCAGCGCAGTACCGAGAGACCAAAGCATCTCTGTACAGGGCGCCAGAGAACTGCGGCCCTGAGCCCGAGTACATCCCATGGACAGGTAAACACACCTGAAAGGACTTCCTCTTGTTTTATTGACTGCCACAGCACTTTAAACACAAAAGCAGCTCTCCATCAGTGTGAGCGTCATAGTTTCTGTCTCTCAGCCTCAGGAGGAGCGGGTGGAGTTCGGACCGTCATCACACGGCAGCACGAGCTGATCCTGCGTGCGGTGTATCCTCACGCAGACGTGGAGCTGCGCGGCGTGCTGAGCGAGCAGCTGGTGGCGCTGTTGGACTCTCTGTTGAGCGGTTATGTGGCTCAGCTGACGTCTCTCCGCCGCACCGGACAACAGGAGCGCTACGTCATGCTGGAGAACGAGTACACGCAGAAACGCTCGGAGCTGCTCGCGCTTCTCCGTGAGTTTTGATTGCTCATTTTACATGTCAGAATAAGCTGAAAAACCAGATTATGTGCTTTATAGTTTTGTGTTGTCTGTGACTGTGGCAGTGGAGTTGGGTCAGCATCAGTGGGTTGCGGCGCTGGCGGAGAAATACTGTGACTTTGACATATTGGTGCAGTTGTGCGAGCGAACAGATAACCAGAGTCGACTACAGCAGTACATGGTCAAATTCGCTGATCAGGTAAGAAACCCACCGGACCAAGAACTCTTAAATGTCAACACAAGCCACATACACTATCGCTCAAAATGTTTGGGGTCTGTATAGTGTTTTTAAAGGAAATTAATACTTTTAGTCAAGGATGCATTAAACTGATCAAAAGTGACAGTAAAGACATTTTTAATCTTATAAAGATTTCTATTTCAAATAAATGCTGTTCTTTCGAACTTTCTATTCATCAAAGAATCCTGGAAAAATTTCAGTTTCCACAAAAATATGAAGCAGCACAACTGTTTTCAACACTGATAATAATCAGAAATGTTTCTTGAGCAGCAAATCAGCATATTAGAATGATTTCTGAAGGATCACGTGACACTGAAGACTGGAGTAATGATGCTGAAAATTCAGCTTTGATCACAGGAATAAACTACATTTGACAATATATTCACATAGAAAACAGTTCTTTTAATATTTCACAATTTTGTATGTTTTTTGTTCGTTTTGATCAAATAAATGCAGCCATGATGAGCATAAGAGGCTTCTTTCACAAACATTTAAACAAATCTTCGCGATCCCAAACTTTTAACCGCTACTATATTTTCAATAGATGCTTCTGGATAGTGTAGTTTGAAGTAGCTTTTGGCTAGTAGAAAATATTTCAGTATTTATAAAAATGTTTTGTTAAATTAAAGAGCATTGCACACGGACACTTTGAAATTCTTGGAATACAGCTCTAAGAAAAACATACTGAAATCACAGTTACAGTGCCTGTGCCGAATGCATTTCCTCACAGCCCTCTGTGTTTCCTGTAGAACTTCGCTGACTTCCTGTTCCGCTGGTACATGGAGAAAGGCAAGAGAGGGAAGCTGCTGTCTCAGCCAATAGCAACGCACCAGCAGCTGGCCAGTTTCCTGCAGGCTCACGATCACCTCAGCTGGCTGCATGACATACATGTGCAAGACTATCAGAGAGTAAGAGAAGAAAAAAAAGGAATAAAATAAATACATATTTAATTTGTATTTTTTTATATATACGCTAAAGTGCACACCACGAGGTTACCGACACTTGTAGTGTTATAAATGCTTTGTTCTCTTCACGACAGGCCCATCGTACCCTGTACAGTCAGGCCAACATGGAAACACGATACTTCAGCAAGAAGAAGACCCTGCTGGCCCTCAGCAAACTCACGGCTCTGGCGTCAGACATGCCTGAAGCCGTGCACCGCAGACAGCTCAACGGTCAGTCATAAACCGTCAGTCTTAAAATCTGTTTTAGTCCATATAAAATGGATTTCATATTTTTATTATTTTCTTACTTTTTCTCTATGTCCCACCAAGCATTTTTAGACAATTCATCATCAACAGAAGGAGCAAATGATGCATGCTTTATGTATTTTATCATTGTGTAGACACGGAGAATAATGTGAGTTTATGCTCAATTTGTCAGGCCTAGTGAATATCACATTAACCTGTGGTGCTCATGCAAGCGACATGGGTTCAAATCTGACCTGCATTTCCCTCTCTTCCTCCCCAAATAAACTCTTGAGCCCCTAAATATTTGATCAGTTTATGCCATGTGAAATCTCTGAAACATAATTGCTGTTGTCCGGTGTGTGTTGGTGTAGATATAGTGGAGCAGGAGAGGTTTCTGCTTCATCAGGAGACTCTTCCTAAACAGCTGCTGGACGAGAAGCAGCTGAACCCAGACAGCATGCCTCTACTGAGCCCTCGTAACCTCATTAATGTGAGTAAACTACAAAAATACTGCGGTCACGTGCATTTGGCAGCCGTTTTTAATTCCTTCAGACTTCTTCATCCTCATTTCTCTTGCCTTGTCTCTCTTTTCCTTGTGTCCAGCTGTACATCTGCGATGAGAACCGTGGAGCCAACGAGTACGACTTCAAGAAAGCTCTCGATCTGCTGGAGTACTTGGAGGAGGTATCTATATAAATAAAAGGCTACGCTAAAAACATCAAAAAGCTACTTTTCCAAACACATGTGTTTCTAATATGTATTCATCACCTGTAGGAGGATAGAGTTGATCTCGATGCCCTAAAACGAGAGATCTTCAGTAAAGCCTTAAAGAAAGACTGGAAGGAGAGGTGAGCATCACAAAACTCACTCAAATGAGATTAGTGTGGATGGATGTTTCATTTTACGTGACTATAATGGTCTTCCATTGACTGACTGGTTGCAGTTGGTCATCGTCTGATGATAATGACGATCCTCTAGAAGCAGCCAGAGACAGCACTTTCGTCAAGATCCTACAGAAACTCATCCAGGAAGGTGCGGTGACTCTCTTTTCTGCTAATCACACACTCACAGTTGTTCTAGAAGTTTGTCTTGAGGTTTCAAAGTAGTTTAGGGCTTATTTGAGACTTGATTTTAGCAGGTATGAAGTATACAATATGGTATCTTACATCCAAAGCTTGGACAACCCTACTTCAGGACATGTAGTTACAATGCAAAATCTGCATATTCAGCCAGAGTGTGTTTTGTGTTTGTGCACACAGGTGTTTCTCTGCAGTCGTACCTGCCTGACGTGAAGGATCTTCTGCAGGAAGACGAGCTGGAGAGTCTCAAATCAAAACCGTACTTTGAGTTCCTCCTGCGAGCCAATTATGAGCACTACCAGAAAGCTCAGATTTGACATTACTTCCTGTTTCTGCTTACTGTTTCCTTGTTAATATTCCAACTTTTTTTTGTACCGTTTCAAAAAAAATATATAATAATAATTACATGAACCAACGCTTGAATTTTCTGAATAAACTGTATTTCTGTAATTGACGACAGACAGTTCAGTGATGGTAATCTTCTGCTGCAAGACAAAGATAGAATAACAAAGACAAATAGTGTTAACCAAATGGTGACGTTAGCTTGGGTTTTATGGTGTTTTCTTAAAGATAGTGAACCCAAATGTATTTGGATTCTTAGGCCACACTCTTAAGATGTCTGAACGTCATTGCATTAGATAACAAAACATCAATTTAATGCCAAAATTACTCTGCAAAGGTGGCACAGAAGTGCTTCTGAAGTGGCATAAATGCATTTATACAATAATTACAACTGTATGCTTTGATACTAGAGGTGGGTCAGAGCAGGCAAATATAAGTGGATTTTATGCAACATTGCGTCTTTACATTGAATTTTGAGCAGCATTTAAGTGACCATTTTATGGACATGTCATGCACACTTTTAGAGCAAAACATTTCACAAAAAGATAAAACTACAGATAAAACGTTCAGAATGACGCTCATTTGTGTTTGTCATTACACTAGTTTATCAAGTTTAAAATCATGCACGAATGGTTCAGAAAAGTTTTAGCTGCATTTGTTTGCAGAAGCCACTCGGTTAGATATCTAACGCAGTAGTACAGACACTACTGAGTGTCTAAACCCTTTTAGGACCACTGTATGTGCAAGGCTCTATTTGAGAACGTCTTTTTGTTTTCTTGCACTCCTTCCTCTCATCTGTCGCTCCCACTCTGTCCTCCAGCAGCTGGTGTGAAAAGAGCAGCTGAACTGATGGAGAAGCAACTGTCTCCCCTGAGCTCCTAAAAATAGGGAAGAGAGGGTAAAATTAGTGGCGTCCGCAGTAAATAAGCTGCACTTTAGGGGGGTTCTCTGACACCCTATATGGGGTGGGAGCCTCTGGAATCCCTAAAGACACTACATAAACTGGAACTCAAGGAGGAAATATGATACTCACTTGTTTGTGATGTGGCATTAGGCTTGGCATCAAATATTTAAATAACCACAGGGTCATGCTTGTCTAATAGTCGTCTAATGACTGTCTTAATTTAATAACCATCTCCAAGTAAAAGAAGGTAAAACATCGTTATAATATACTGTTCCTGTTTTCAGAAAGGCAGAGAGGGTTGCTGAGTGGCTATTTTGATAATATTGGTCATTGGTGATACTTTTACCATGATTTCACAACACATCTTTACAATTATTATGTAATGGCAGCTGATGAACAAGCTTAAGAAAATACGTTTCCATCCTTCTTTTGATGGTGATAGTATATTTTAAGGGCTTAATATGGTGACTGCATTGTTCAGCTAAACATCAGACTCAAATAAGAGATTTTCCAAGTTGTTTTTCTAAGATTCTCCTCCCCTTTATCCAGTTTCTGGAATTCAACTTCTGCTTCTGTGGCTTTCTATGGGAAAGGAAGAAGCTGAAATGAATGCTGTTATCCCAGTGCCATAGACTGACTAAATCCCTAATTTATTTCAGAAATGCCATGTTTGTAGGCTTTATATTGGTCAGTTCGTGCAAACGAAGCCACTATTTGCATGACTTTCAAAAAACAGCTCAATTTACCTGATTTCACCATATGATACACTGCAAAAATTAACATTTTATAATTTCTGGTTTGCTGTCATCCTTTAAAGTATATCTGAGATTAAAATAATTAGATGAGAATCAATAGCCCACCAAAGAAAAAGAAGCTATTTTTATTTACATTTGTACAAAGCAACTTATATTACACCTTGAGTTCATTTTCATTTGATCAATGGTAAAATGTAATGATAAACAATCATAACCCACTGTCATGCCCTTATATTGAGATATAGTCAACAAACGGTCAGTGTTGGACTCTGTGTGCACTCGTATGGTGGCGCTGCGCCCGCCCGCTGTGGTTTGGGGTCTGGAACGCCATATATGGAGCCCGGAGCGCCGCGCGGCGCAGACGCGGAGCCCCTCCGCTCGACCCACCGACACCCAAATATGGACGAGGATCGGGAGGAATTCCATTCGAATGCACGGACATTCCTTAATGGTTGTCGGAAGAGCAGGAAGAGCAGGAAAAGCAGAGGACGGGTGTATATAAGATGCAGCGCCTGCGGGTCATATAGCAGGAGCCGGCAGCACTTCAGTTTGACTTCACGACTCTCTTGAGAGCAGCCACAGGTAAGCGCTATTTCACGAGGTCGGAAACTAGATTAAAAAGGACAGCGATTCGGAATCGGAAAATGTACGATGTGAATGCAAGGATTTGACGCTAATCATTGTACAGCGGTTTCGCTTTTGACTTTGACTTTTTTTATTCACTTCATTGCACACATATCAGAAACTTTTCTCTGTGTATCTTAACTGTGAATTTAATTTAAAAACAGTGGTCTTTAACAATAGAAATCATCGGAGTGCGTTTTTTGTTTAGCTATTTTTAATAATTTAGTATATGTTTACATTTATTTGATCATATTGGTGCAAATGGAAATACAAATCGTATTTGACAATAAAAAATAACTGTTTTTCACATCTTTTCATTCAGATTCCACTCAGCTATTTAGTATGCTATAATTAAGAATACTATGAATGCAGTTTCTCAATGTAAACTAAACATTTGTCTGTTTGGTAACAAACTTGGTTACCAGTTTGAGTGATAATGATTTTGTCGGGGTTGTAGTGCCCTCTTCAACTTCTCTATGGCTTTTTCTCATTGACTTTAATTGTAGAAACCATCAAGATGTGTGATGACGATGAGACTACAGCTTTGGTGTGCGACAATGGCTCTGGCCTGGTGAAGGCTGGTTTCGCCGGTGATGACGCCCCCAGGGCTGTCTTCCCTTCCATCGTCGGCCGCCCACGTCACCAGGTACATACAGAGATCCTTCCTGGATCTGTATTTGCCATCTCAAGGGAATGATTGTATGGGTTTTCTTTGGGCTATTCTGATCATGCTGTATCCCTTGCTCATAGGGTGTGATGGTCGGTATGGGTCAGAAAGACTCCTACGTTGGAGACGAGGCTCAGAGCAAGAGAGGTATCCTGACCCTGAAGTACCCAATCGAGCACGGCATTATCACCAACTGGGACGACATGGAGAAGATCTGGCACCACACCTTCTACAACGAGCTCCGTGTGGCCCCCGAGGAGCACCCAACCCTGCTCACCGAGGCCCCTCTGAACCCCAAGGCTAACCGTGAGAAAATGACCCAGATCATGTTTGAGACCTTCAACGTCCCCGCCATGTACGTGGCCATCCAAGCCGTCCTGTCCCTGTACGCTTCTGGCCGAACCACCGGTGAGACAACATGCTGTAACTGAAAGAGCAACAGTTATATAATTACACACAGGGCATTTGACACAGTTGTAATGCTTACTGTTAGCTCTGACTGATTTCTGGTTCCTGGCTGTTATTAGGTATTGTGCTGGACTCTGGCGATGGTGTGACCCACAATGTGCCCATCTATGAGGGTTATGCTCTTCCCCACGCCATCATGCGTCTGGACTTGGCTGGTCGCGATCTGACAGACTACCTGATGAAGATCCTGACCGAGCGTGGTTACTCTTTCGTCACAACCGGTGTGTACCTTGTCACTTTTTACTGGGATATTTCTAGCATGTGTGAAACAGACCAAATAAACAACTCTCGATTTGTCGTCCACCACAGCCGAGCGTGAGATTGTCCGTGACATCAAGGAGAAGCTCTGCTACGTCGCCCTGGACTTTGAGAATGAGATGGCCACCGCCGCCTCCTCATCCTCCCTCGAGAAGAGCTACGAGCTTCCCGACGGTCAGGTCATCACCATCGGTAACGAGCGTTTCCGTTGCCCTGAGACCCTGTTCCAGCCTTCCTTCATTGGTATGTTTGAAAACATCTGAAATTATCGGTTGTTGTCTTACCTTCTAGTCCTCCAACCATTTATATGCTCTCCTCAAAACAATTGCACAGGTATGGAGTCTGCTGGCATTCACGAGACCGCTTACAACAGCATCATGAAGTGCGACATTGACATCAGGAAGGACCTGTACGCCAACAACGTCCTTTCTGGTGGTACTACAATGTACCCTGGTATTGCTGACCGTATGCAGAAGGAGATCACAGCCCTGGCTCCCAGCACAATGAAGATCAAGGTAATAGGGCCTAGAGCTTTAAAACTCAAGCTTTTTCCATGTTGACTTTAAAACTGCAGACTGGTTTTTTGAATAATATTTGATCTCCTCTTCTTCTGTAGATCATTGCTCCCCCTGAGCGTAAGTACTCCGTCTGGATCGGCGGGTCCATCCTGGCTTCCCTGTCCACCTTCCAGCAGATGTGGATCACCAAGCAGGAATACGACGAGGCCGGTCCCAGCATCGTCCACCGCAAGTGCTTCTAAGCGCCCGGCTCACCATCCTATCATTGCTTCCTGCTCAGGAACCAAGCGACGGCGCATTGCTCCTGTGGACAGCTTTTCCACAGTCGTCATTTATGCGATGACGTAGGAGCATAAACTGAGAAAAGGACACTAACGTCAAGGGAGAGAAAAATACCAAGCACTCTCATTGCACACAAATGTATTTATTACTGACTTCCATGGCTTGGTATTTTGGAGAATGCTGTTTGAAATGGAAGGACCCCGCTCCCTTAGATTCCAGTGACTCTGATATACGTTCCAATGTACACCCGGTCCAGTTGATGACCAACACAAATCACACTTCAACAGACAAATAAAACTGATAATCTATTTTTAAACATGGTACTCGCCAATGAATATGTCATTTCAGTATTCTTATAAGATACAGTACACTAGGATTCAGCCCACACTGAGACAGACTAAACATAATTTATCCAACCTCTAACACGGCGCGAAGTCTTGTTATGTCTGTAATCTGACAACTATAAACCATCTGGGCTGTTTAAGTGGGCTCTAATGGAGGATAAATGCGCATGGGACAATTAATGGATCACAGAAGCATTACAGTAGCACTGACAGTCTTACAGTTTATAAAGGAATCATAAACTTTATAAGCTTATACCCGATTAGATTGATTACTTATAAACCTCAAAGGAATAACAGTACTGATTTAATACTGAATAATTTTCTTCTTTATATGGTAACTTTTGTTAGCTGTAAAGAATAATGTTTTTAAACCAAAGTACTATGGTATTACCAACAATGTATCATACCGCCATAAAATGTTTTGTTGTTGATAAGTACGAGCTAATTTCGACTCATTCATGTTAACGTTTAACCAACAGCACAGATATAAAAATCAATATGAGATTCAGTTGAAGGGCAGAAGATAGTACATCCATGTCCATACCCCATATTTAGTTTCATATTTACGTTAAAATATTTTCCTGACAGACAAAGACCTTTTCTGCGCATGCGCTGAGAAAGTATCATCACTAGTAATGTATGTGTATCACTAGGAATGTAGTATAATGACTGTCACCTGATGTTCTCCAGCCATTACAAAAATATTAGGAAAACGTCGAACGACAAACTAACGCCACAAATAATTAGCAACTTCTATCCACTGGAATAAAGTAGACGATTATAATCAAATTAGGATCATTTAAACGGTAGATTGGATTGTGCGTGCGTATTTGCGCATCAAGTCCTCATGCGGTCCAAGTGATGGAGTGCGCATGCGCACTGTAAATCACCAAAGCCCGAATATCACCGAGGCTTGTTTTTCTAGTACACAGCAGCGGTCCCAGCATCGTCCACCGCAAGTGCTTCTAAGCGCCCGGCTCACCATCCTATCATTGCTTCCTGCTCAGGAACCAAGCGACGGCGCATTGCTCCTGTGGACAGCTTTTCCACAGTCGTCATTTATGCGATGACGTAGGAGCATAAACTGAGAAAAGGACACTAACGTCAAGGGAGAGAAAAATACCAAGCACTCTCATTGCACACAAATGTATTTATTACTGACTTCCATGGCTTGGTATTTTGGAGAATGCTGTTTGAAATGGAAGGACCCCGCTCCCTTAGATTCCAGTGACTCTGATATACGTTCCAATGTACACCCGGTCCAGTTGATGACCAACACAAATCACACTTCAACAGACAAATAAAACTGATAATCTATTTTTAAACATGGTACTCGCCAATGAATATGTCATTTCAGTATTCTTATAAGATACAGTACACTAGGATTCAGCCCACACTGAGACAGACTAAACATAATTTATCCAACCTCTAACACGGCGCGAAGTCTTGTTATGTCTGTAATCTGACAACTATAAACCATCTGGGCTGTTTAAGTGGGCTCTAATGGAGGATAAATGCGCATGGGACAATTAATGGATCACAGAAGCATTACAGTAGCACTGACAGTCTTACAGTTTATAAAGGAATCATAAACTTTATAAGCTTATACCCGATTAGATTGATTACTTATAAACCTCAAAGGAATAACAGTACTGATTTAATACTGAATAATTTTCTTCTTTATATGGTAACTTTTGTTAGCTGTAAAGAATAATGTTTTTAAACCAAAGTACTATGGTATTACCAACAATGTATCATACCGCCATAAAATGTTTTGTTGTTGATAAGTACGAGCTAATTTCGACTCATTCATGTTAACGTTTAACCAACAGCACAGATATAAAAATCAATATGAGATTCAGTTAAAGGGCAGAAGATAGTACATCCAAAAATGTCCATACCCCATATTTAGTTTCATATTTACGTTCAAATATTTTCCTGACAGACAAAGACCTTTTCTGCGCATGCGCTGAGAACGTTTCATCACTAGTAATGTATGTATATCGCTAGGAATGTAGTATAATGACTGTCACCTGATGTTCTCCAGCCATTACAAAAATATTAGGAAAACGTCGAACGACAAACTAACGCCACAAATAATTAGCAACTTCTATCCACTGGAATAAAGTAGACGATTATAATCAAATTAGGATCGCTTATTTATTCAGCTTTCAGATGATGTCTAAATCTCTAGTCTAAATTTAAAGTCTAAATTTACCCTTATGACTGGTTTTGTGGTTTTTGTTCAACTCTCATTTTCAGAACCTTATACAATGTTATATAAAGGTCAGATCATTACCCCAGATGTTGAAATTTGCCATGAGAACTTTCTGTACCCATAAAAAAAAAAGTTATCAGATATTTTTGTAAATATATTTCAAAGTATATATATATATATATATATATATATATATACAGTGTCATTAGCAGAAGTGAACAAGAGTGTTTTTAACAGATTTGAATAAATGATACAAACAAAGAGGGAAATTCTGAAGTGACTAAACAGCCGTGTACTAATCAGTGGAATGAAGCACTGTGTGACATCTGACACTGCGTGTGGAAGCGGTGAATTATTCAGCGTGGAGCAGTGATATCCTGAATCTACAGTCAGATTACCTTCTCTGGTATACAAAAGTTTAGTAGGTTAAACAGAGCTGGATTTCACCAGTGTAGAAAACTGCAAATGAGTCGAGTCAGAGCTCCATGAAGCTGAATAAATCTGAATTCATGTTCAGATACATCGGGCCGACGTGGGCATCCAGACACGAAGAGAGGCTAAAAAAGATGGAAGATCATCAGAGCTCCGGCGGGCGAGGTCAGCTGACCCGGAGAAGTCCCGAAGATCAGCACTGAGTGTGGCGGACGAGCGCTGGATGACCGAGTACATGCGCTGCTTCTCTGCTCGACTGAGGTAGAGGCTGATCCAGGACCAGTTCATGTCACTGGATTTGATACGAGGAGGCCGCAAGAAAAAGATCCCAAACCAGCACTACAGAAGAGTTTGATGCCACTGAACAACTGACAACAAAAACTGAACAAAAAGTTACACGCACTCCTTTAAATTCAATACGATATACCAAAGTTCGGTAACACTTTATTTCAATAGTCCACTTTAGACATTCTATTAACAGTAAGTAACTTTGCAACTACATGTCAACTAGCAGTTAGTAGAGTATTAGTAGACTGTCTGCTTAATATCTTCTAACACTTTCTTTGTCAACTTATTCTACTAACCCTAAACCTACCCTAACAGTCTACTCTGAGAGTTCGTAGACATGTAGTTGCAAAGTAATGAGAATTAGTTGACATGTAGTTGACATGTAGTTACAAAGTTACTTATAGTTAATAGAATGTCTAAAGTGGACTATCAAAATAAAGTGTAACCCAAAGTTCTTTATGAAATATTCAAATACTTCATATTTTTTGATGCTGGTTACAATCACTTTCTCATGAATGCATTTAAGGACCAAACATTGAACTACTACAACCAAAACACATTTGGTATCACAAATACTTTGTTTTTAATTTGTTTCTAATTATTTATTGGCATTTAATGAACATTTTATTTCCAGTTTTCAGATCTTCTGTCATGATTTTTAACATGGGCTGCAGGGATTTAATGATCAAATTACATTTTTGAGTGGACCAAGCATTTCATGTAAAGATGGGTGATTTGTTTCTGACTCGGATGATTGTTGATTCTGAACCTTCCAGAATGTTATTCTAGACGCTCCAGTCTGCCTGTCATTAAGATGTCAGCTGTAAAACGTACTGTTCTTCTGAATGTGATTGACGATGTTTGGTTTGTTTTAATCGATCACATGGTGAATGAATTTGTGTTTGAGAGGCCGTGTTAGAAGTGCAGTGTTGTGCAGCTATATCCTTTTGCAAGTCGTGAAATGTTTTCTAAAAAAGTGTATTTTCCTCACCGATCACCAACAATCATCATTTAAATCCACTTTTTGCACAAAGATGTCAAGTAATTCATATTTTTAGATGGAAAAATAATTGAGGGCTAGTTCAAGGCCATCGTTTGATTCTTGTGTTATTTATTAGAGCACAGATTTTATATAAAAATACATATGTGCACACGTATATATTTTGCTTTTCTGTGATGTTTCAAATGCATCAGCACTGATCATAGACACTTTGAATGTGCCGTGACGCTTTACTTGAACCTTCATGGTTCACTGGGAGACCTTTCCTCTGCTCTTTATCTTCATCATGGTTGCCTGTTATCTTGACTTTTTTATTCTGTTATTCACTTATCATTTCATAAAAGGAAACTCATTCAGTTTCAGGCTACTTGTGTTTACATTTTGACCACTGTATTTGTACATCCGAACATGCACAGGTAGATATATTTTCACCTGCAGAACAGAAGTACTCTTAATGCATTGCTATGAATAAACTATGTTTGAGTAACATCATGTCCCCTCGATATTATGTTCAGAAATCACAATATCATACAGCGCAATATATTAAACATCAGTATAATTTTTAAGGCATGAATAAACACATTTTGTGTTGTTTTGTTCAACACACAGATTGTGCTATTTTTAATGACATTTATATCCAGAGTATTTTTTAATCGTTAATTTGTTTGTATATGTGTGTTTTGTTTGATGAAATAATACAGTGGGGTCCAAAAGTCTGAATCCACTAGTGATACTGCTATTTTTTGTTTTTTCATCTTTTAAAATTAGTTCATAATATCAGCATAATAGAGTGAAAAGTGTAATTAAAACTAATTAGCACTGGAGATGCATGAGCAAAACCTGCTGATCATGTTCTCCAGCATGATTTCAGCTTTGAGCACCTTCAGAGTTCACATGATCACTGTGACCCTGGAGCACAAAAGCAGTGTTAAGTCGCTGGGGTATATTTGTAACAGTAGCCAAAAATACATTGTATGGGTCAAAATGATTGATTTTTCTTTTATGCCAAAAATCATTAGGATATTAAGTAAAGATCATGTTCCATGAAGATATGTTGTAAATTTCCTACTGTAAATATATCAAAACTTTATTTTTGATTAGTAATATGCATTGCTAAGAACTTCATTTGGACAATTTTAAAGGCGATTTTCTCAATATTTAGATTTTTTTGCACCCTCAGATTCCAGATTTTCAAACAGTTGTATCTCGGCCAAATATTGTCCTATCCTAACAAACCATACATCAATGGAAAGCTTATTTATTCAGCTTTCAGATGATGTATAAATCTCAATTTCGAAAAATTGACCCTTATGACTGGTTTTGTGGTCCAGGGTCACATATAGGCTTTCTAATGAAGAGTTTCTTCAGCCATCCACTTATTTGCACATATGTCACGAACTGTCAGGCATCCACAGCACGGTCCAAATCACCTCGCAGACCAGCTGAGGTTTAGTCTGGACCTGCTGATGGACAGCAGACGGCTCGGAGGTCTGAATCATGTCATGATGTGATGTATGTCTTTGTTTTCAATTGGCTGTTAAACAGCATGATCAGAAGTGCTGACGTGCCATTGTGATCTATTTAACCGGCACTATAAATAGACACCTGCTAAAAGTCTAATCTCACTGACAGCTGCACGTCTGTGCGATACCGAGGACAGAAAACCAAAGAGTGTGTGTATATATACTAGGAGATGTGCCAGAAAGTGTGTCTCCAGAGAAGAGTTCTGTTTTACTGGTATAATGTGTCTAAACAAACATGTGTTGCTAGTTCTCTCATCAGAAGCTGGTGAATCTGTGCCGGCTGCGTTTGGTAAAGGCTCTGAGCACTCAGAGGTATGAAACTTTAGACACTCGTGTTACACTTGCGCACCTCCTTCCCGTTACTCAGCAGATCCTGGGAGACGCTGATGAAGACCATTAACTAGACGAGCAGCTGTTTCCATACCACACCTGTCCACATAGATCTTCAGCACCCCGCAGAAGCTTCTGTTGACCACTGGACGAGGAGCTTTATAAGAGAGCAGATTGTGAAGGTAGCACACAAATACGTCTGGAGAATGTCTGTTAAAGAGCGCTTCATCTGGAAAGCAGTGTACAAACATCTGATGAACATCTTTTAAAAAGCAGTTTTAGACAAAAAACATCTTAAAGACATTTTCTAAATATCTAACATGACAGAGATTTTTATTACTTTTTAAAGAAGTCTCTTCTGCTCATCAGGGCTGCATTTGTTTGATCAAAAATACAGAAAAAACAGTAATACTGTGAAATATTATTACAATTTAAAATGTGTTCTATTTTAATGTACTTTAAAATATAATTTATTTCTGTGTTCAAAGCTGAATTTTCAGCATCATTGCTCCAGTCTTCAGTGTCACATGAATATAGGTTTTTACTGTCACTTTTTTAGCAATTTAACACATATTCGCTGAATAAAAGTATTAATTTCTTTCAAAAATAGAAAGAAAAAGAAAAACCTGCTGACCCCAAACTTTTGAAAGGTAGTGTTTATTTGAATAATAAATAAATGCTGTTCTTTTTAACTCCCGAGATCAGGGTGAGAGCTGCAGCGGTCGTCCTGTAGGATTATTCCACATGTGCTGAACATGTGTCCGCCGCTGTCTGTCCAGATCTGAAGCACTGCAGCCTTCACCCGTCCCGTCTGAACGGAGCCGCTGCATCTGTCAAGCACATCAGCACGCATCAGTCACAGCGCTCACCTGTCAGATATGACATCATGGAATCATCGTGTGCTTGTTTTGAAGTTTTACAAAAATCAACATTAAGATCAGTGTTTTTATGGTTAACGAAAACTATTAAAAACTGTGGTTAAAATAAAATATAAATATTAGGGGGAATTAGAAAAACTTAAAAATTAGAAATGTTGCCTTGGCAACTAAGAAAAGCTCAAATAAAACTGAAATAAAACAAAAATGACTAAAACTGAAATAAATATATTAAAGCTAAATAGAAACATTAAAAACAAAAAAACGAATGAAAATGAAAAAAAGAACAAAATTACTAAAATTAAAATATGGAAACCAAAGATGAAACTAAAAGACAAAAATAATAAATGCTATAATAGTATATAAATACGAATTAATGTAATTAATATGATTATATTTTAGAATAATATTACAAATACATTACAAATGTATGTTCAAATTCATTTCAAATTTATGTTTGAAATGGTAAAAAAATAGCATTGTGCCACTTTGTGTGCATCTGCTAGGAACACCCATGTGAACTTGAGGAGAACTAACATTCACTAAAAACCACCAAAACACATGAGCTGAATAAACCCGGAGCAAATGAGATGAGGAAAAATTACGTTAGTGAAGAGAAAAGATTCTGCAGCATTTCAAAACAAGCCGATACAGACACTTAATTTGATATTTTATTGATTTCAATGACATTCAGACCTTCATTGTGCCTTAAAACATCTGAAAGCATAAATCCCCAGCAGCAACCACACAGTAGATGCTTCAGGTTGGACGACCTTGACCTCTTGGCTTCACCTGATTTTCACGATGTAACTCAACAGTGTCCTCTACAGGTGAAGCTCTAAAAATACTCTGCTTCCAGCACTATTAGACAGACAATTAAAGGTGCTGTATGTAAGTTTTTGACTCTACTAAAGCATAAAAGTACCATAATATGTTTGTAGATATTTAAGAAACATGCTAAGTTAACATACTTGTTTATCTGAAAAACAATGCTACAGTCAGTTATTCTTCTTTGAAAATGTGAGTTCCGGGCCGGAATGTCGGTCTCTGTTTTGGTTTGTGAAACCCAACCACTGCCAGTTTTCCCAATTGTATTTTGGCACCCCGGGTTGCCAGTTGGCGGAAAACACAGCGTATTTACTGATAAGATGCGCGTTAAATATCGCATGCGATTTATCGTGCAGCCCTATTTCATTTCATTCATCGTCAAGTGCGCTCTTGCCTGTTGGTGTCGTCAATCTGGCAACCTGTGTGTGTCAAGTCTGAGGAGGAGGGGCCGGGTGAAAAAAACCCTCTCCAATATTTTGAATTTTGACTGCAATACCTAGTTCAACCACTCGGTGTCAATCCTACATACAGCACCTTTAAATCCTTAGATTTAACTATTGACAAGTGACAAAATATTGTTTCCAATCATGGCTGCTGAAAAATATGCAACTCACACTCATTAAGACATGTCATCCCCCCAGCCCCGAATACCAGTTATTAAATGAATTATCAGAAACATACAGACTACGCTTCAGTGAGTCCTACTGATAAAATCACCCTGGTTCAGTGGGGTGAACTGAACAGCTCTCAAGGCCTGTTGTTCTGATGTTATTCCTGCATGATTTCCGCAGCAGGTGGGGGTTGAGGTCAAGAGATACTGTGAGGGGAAAACCAGTCGCCATCTGCCCACCTAATTCCCACAGGTGGCTTCTGTCTCGACCCATTACAGGATCTGCAGCGGCACAGGAGCCGATCTGCACGCCTCGCTATAGTAAACTCGCTATAGTCCTCAAATACTGAAGAGTTTGGTAATGACACCTTATAAATCATGATATAAAAACTGATAATTTCTCAATTCTTTCTGAAAAAAACACTAATTTAACTTATATATTTAATAATTGCATGCAACTCTATACATTTCTGTAGCTCAAATATTAAATTTAACTGATAAATGTTGAACGCAATAAGACGCCAAATGCATAAAAATGTAAAACAGTTTTAACTTCATTAGATATATTGCGATTCATTTTAGTGGTCCATCAATATAAATTTTTCAGTTCTTGATATTCTTGATAGAGAGTGACACGCTGAGAAGAAGCTCAGGAGTTTAAACCTCACTAACCTTATGTGGGTTAAAACATTAAGTTCAAGTATATTTGCACATATGCATCTCATTACTGTCGCAGCATCAGCCAGCAACTCTGAGTCAGATATTAGAGGCCGTAAATGCTGCAATTAAAGGGTTTCGTGTTATTTCAGTTGTCACCATTCAGATCCACTCAGAACCTGAAGCCTGCAGTAAGTGTCATTGTGCAGGTAATTGTCATTCTGTGATGGCGGTAATTACGTCTGCTGTGAGAGTCCCAGATTGCCGAGGGAAAAGCATACCACAATGAGGTAAATGAATCAGAGCTGATTAAAGGCTTTTGGGCCATACGGACCTTTGACAGGGCCGTCAGAACAAGACTCGCAGGCAAAGTTAATTTTCACCGATGCAAATCTACTTCTAAACTAATTTAAATGTACGAGATGAAAACATGGTAACACTTTACTTCATAAAATGAAGTAAACAGTTGAAATGAAGTTGTAAACAAAACATCATACTATACAGGAGTACAGCAGGTGTAACTCAGACATCAAATCCCTCTCCTTCAGTCCTGATCTTCAGTCTGTTCACAGGATCAGCTAATCCACTGCTATGAATGCAGGGTACCGGGCCAAATGACACACAAAAACACTTCTGGGTCACAGGTATACACAACACATAACAGGTGACGCTAAATGAGGTCCTCAAGCTCAGTCCCAATTAAGACAGAAAATAAAATAAAAATACATATATAATTTTAAAAATATATTTACAATTCAAAATAACTTTTCTACTTGAATATATTTTAAAACGTAATTTTTTCTGTGATGCAAATCTGAATTTCTTAGCAGCTATTATTCTAGTCTTCAGTGTCACATGATGATATCTAAAATGTCTAGTCAACATGAATCAAAACTGACCCTATTTATTTTCTTAATGCACGTTTTCATTATTGTGCATGATTCACTCTACATTATTCCAAAGACAATTATTGTAAACTTTATATAAAATTGCAATAACAGCCACTTTTCGCAGTAAATCCACATCCTGTTCTACATTGCTGCTCGTTATACTGTTCAATTTGGAAATGCATCACATTAAAAAATCTGTCTGTGAATCCCATTTCATCTGGAGGTCTGTTTATATTGTGAGTGTCTTACTGTAGCGAGAAAGACAACTCAAACCCACCTGTGTGGCGTAACTGGATTCTCCATCACTGAAGGTCAAAGCTCTGGACGCAGCTCAGTTTCCTCCACCATGTTTCCGAGAGCTGTTTGATTTTATCTGGAGTTTTGTCTCTTAGCGTGTGCATCGTCGGCCACGCCGCCTCCTCCGCGTGCCACATGCTGGCCAAGATGGCACCGTCGAACACTTCCTTCAGGTTCTTCTGCGTCAGTGCTGAGCATTCAGCAAACGTCACGGCGCCGATGCTCCGGGCGCACAGGCGGGCCTCGTCTCTGCTCACCGGTTTCTCCTGGCCGTCTGCGAGTCGGATCAGCACCTGGACATCCTCCCGCAAGTCACACTGGGTGCCCACGAGGATGATGGGAACTCCCGGACAGAGCCGATGAACCTCAGGGGCCCAGCGGTCCATCATGCTCCTGAAAGAGGATGGAAGGACCACACTGTAGCAGAGCAGGAAGACGGCAGCGTCACGGTAACAGAGTGGACGGAGGCGCTCAAACTCGTCCTGAAAACAGGAAGAAAAGTGAGGCAGCTGCCGCATTTTACTTAATAATTAAAATATTGCAATCTATATTTAGCAATATATACCATACATTACAAAGAAGAGCAGCAAAAACTTGCATAATTTTCTTCAACCTTGCAAGTTGCATGTGCTTTTCTATTTATAACACAAGACATGCAAGTAAGTATGACAAATGATGAATTATAGCTGTGACACTTTATCAGTCTGATGAGTAAGTTCTATTACTGAACATCACAGAGTCAATCTATGTGACAGTCACCCAAAAATCTACAGGACTCTGTGCTAAGAGAATACAAGGATCTCATTCTAACGCTAGGTGGCGCTCTTCCGTCATATCCTGTTGCTTACATATAGAGGCTGATCCTCTGCCATTCAAAGCACAGAGAGAAAAAGAGTTCATCTATCCATCAGGACAAACTGGTGATAGATAGATAGATAGATAGATAGATAGATAGATAAGAGCAGCAAAAACTTGCATAATTTTCTTCAACCTTGCAAGTTGCATGTGCTTTTCTATTTATAACACAAGACATGCAAGTAAGTATGACAAATGATGAATTATAGCTGTGACACTTTATCAGTCTGATGAGTAAGTTCTATTACTGAACATCACAGAGTCAATCTATGTGACAGTCACCCAAAAATCTACAGGACTCTGTGCTAAGAGAATACAAGGATCTCATTCTAACGCTAGGTGGCGCTCTTCCGTCATATCCTGTTGCTTACATATAGAGGCTGATCCGCTGCCCCCCATCTCTGCCATTCAAAGCACAGAGAGAAAAAGAGTTCATCTATCCATCAGGACAAACTGGTGATAGATAGATAGATAGATAGATAGATAGATAGATAGATCACCTGTCCTGCCATGTCACACAGTTGAAGTTGAACTGGTCTTCCATCCACCACAACCCTAGCTGAGATAGAGAAACACTCAAATATGAATCTATTCGTATTAATATCAATCAAACAGAAAGCTGAGATAAATGTATTAATGAACTATTTCCGAGGAACATATCACGTATAAGATGTCAAAAAGTCCAGAACAGGTCTTATTTTATATGTTAACATATATAACGGGGACCAGGTGAGTACTTGAGTGCGCACTTCTAGAAGCAGTATGGATATTTGAGTTTAGCCTACCTGTGAAGTTGTCAAAGGCGGTGGGAATGTGTTCCGCCGGATATCCGTTAGTGGTGTAGCTGATGATCAGGCTCGTTTTACCCACCGCTGCATCCCCGACCAGCACACACTTGACCCGGGGCTCAGGTGAATTTTGCTGAAGATTCGCTCGCGGCGGAACTGGAGGCGGACAGTCGTCTTCATTTACCGCCTCAGCCTCGTCCTGCGACGGCATTGCGTTTTCCAGTAAACAAATGCAACTTTAGTGGTTCAAAACAAGCCCGTGGCTGCTGTCAAGACATGATTAGTTCAATAAACTGCTTTATTTACCATGCCTGCATCGCTAAATGAAGGCGCGGAATCCCTCGCGCACCTGCTGCGGTCGTTCTCTCTCTCGCGCTCTCAAGTCAAGTTCGAGCGCGAGCACCCGCGGCAGGTTGATTGACAGACGAGCATCTGCTGCAGTAAGAGGATTAATGCACGACACATGCGCGCAGTGTTGCGTTTCACTGACCCGCGAGTCGCAGAGCTGGAGGAAAGACCTGAAAAGTCGGAGAAAACCACAGAAAAACCCTCCTCTAAAATAATCCTTTTCTCTTTATAAAAGTAAAACACACCAAAAAGTACCACATAGATGGATGGCTGGATGCACCAAAAGCACAAATATCTCCTGAATAAAATATGAGGTCAAGTGATAAACGATGTGAAAGGTCAAGGATGTGCCTGACAGGCGTTACTATGGGCAACCAAGACTTGGCTTTGGTCTAAACTCTACTGAATAAATAGGTAAAAGACATGCGCACATTAATTCTCTCAAAAGTGTAAACATGGTTACTGGCGCTATCAAAACTAGTGATTTGATATTAATTTTCCTATTATACAACACTGTTTTGATTTCATATCTACTTCACGATCGCAGCACTTTCAGTGATTATGATGAAAAATAGCAAGCTGATGCCCGTCTTTTCTTCTCCTCCATTTATCAGGCTCGTGTAGCTCCTCCTCAGTGAATCTGCAGCTATGAGCTGGTGCCATCTGTCCACCCGTGCGCTCATGCAACCACCAGAAGGCCTCAACATGTGCTGATGTAAATGGAGAGCTCAACTTTCCCAGGACAGAGCTGACCCTGGCAGCCGCCCTCACACACAAACACACACGCACACAAATGCGCATTTATCACACAATCAAAGGCACCTCGCGCCCCTGATCCACACACACACACAGATCGGCTGAAAACACATTTGCTGGGTACAAGTCCATCAAACACCCGTCAGATCATGGCCAGATAAGGCCTGATACCAACACACTCACACACATTTCTGCTACCGCTAAAACATTCAAACTTAGGTGTGTATTTGTGGCAGTGCATGGTCACACAAGTGTGGACGTGCATGCATGTTACACATCTATGTGGGTGAGTATCATGAAACCTATCAAGAAATGTCCAAATCATATTTCACCCTATACTAATTTTCTTTTCTTTTTTAATAAATTAAATGCAATGAGAGTTTGGATGGAAATTAGCTTAACTGGACATTTAAATCAGTATAAATTACAAATGACAGCATTAAATACACTGCAATTATTTTAGTTATATGTACATATTGTAACTATATACAAATATATTAAAACAACATGTTAGCATTTTAACATATCACATCACAGTAATGAGAATGAGAAAAATGCATTATGGTAAGATTTTTTTTCCCATTATGGTAATGCTCATTATTTTATTTATTTATTTACTTATTGCATTATGATAATGAGAATTACTTTATTTCTTGCATTATAGTAATGAGAATAATTTTTTTTGCATGAGAATTATTTTATATATATATTTATTGCATTATGGTAATGAGAATTATTTTATTTCAACATTATGGTAATGAGAATTTTTGCGTTATGGTAATGATAAGTATTTATTTATTTACTTATTGCATTATGGTGATAATAATTATTTATTTATTGCATTATGGTAATAAGAATTATTTTATTTCAACATTATGGTAATGAGAATTATTTTATTTCAACATTATGGTAATGAGAATTTCTTTTTTTGCATGAGAATTATTTTATATATTTATTTATTGCATTATGGTAATGAGAATTATATTATTTCTACATTATGGCAATGAGAATTACTTAATGAATTATTGCATTATAGTACTGACAGTTTTTTTGCATGAGAATTTTATATATTTATGTATTTCATTATGGTAATGATAATTATTTTATTTATGTATTTAATTATGGCATTATTTGTGTTATGATAATGATAATTATTTACTTATTGCATTATGGTGATGAAAAATATTTTATTTTAACATTATGGTAATAAGAAATATTTTACTTATTTATTTACTTATTGCATTATGGTAATTATATATTTTTTGCATTGTGGCAATGATAATTATTTTATTTATTTACTTATTTCAATTATGTAAATGAGAATTGTCTAATTGTCTTGAAGATAATGCAATGCAATGCAATGCAAAAAAAATCATAATGGTCCTAAAACAGCATTCTCTGTTTATTAAAAATATTATGTAAAACAAATTACATAAAATATATAATCAAAATTTCTTTAGATTTTGGGGTGAAATATGACCTGGGCATATGAGAGTCACTGTGTCTGAATGTGTACATGTGTGTTGACGCAGATGTGTCTCTACACACACAATGCTTCCAATGCTTTCCCTCAGGACCTGCGGTAGTGTGTGTAGTGGGGGAGGACTCTATCTTAATAGTCTCAGTGTGAAATAAGGGGCCGGATCATCTGATGGGTAAAAATGATTCGAAGAGGAAGGGTCTCGCTGGAACACAGGACTCTAAGCTGGGGAGGGACGGACGGATAGAGAGATTCCCAAAAGAAAGAAAGGAAGAATGAGGGTGGGAGGGGAGGGATGAGAAAAGACATAGGGGATGCAGAGGGGCGCCAGGGCACAGCGATGTCACACACTTTTTTTGTGCCTCAGTCAACAGGCGTGTGCCATGATGTGTGTGTGAAAGCACAGCCCTGCTGTCCGGCTTTGGTTCAGAGCATGGGAACCAACTGAACACACACTCCTAATGACCTGCGTGCTGCTTTTATTATATCACTCACACACGTACACACACACACACACACACTCCTAATGACCCCTGTGCTGCCTTAATAACACACCAACAGGCGTCATTAGATTCGTCCACACAATGGCATTATCGCACAGATCTGTCTCTGCAACAGGACAACAGAGATACGGCCACGTGTGTGTGTGTGTGTGTGTGTGCATTTATTTAAATTTGTTCACTGCTAAAGTTAAAAACTGCATTAGTGTATATACACTAATGCAGTTTTTAACTTTAGCAGTGAACAAATTTACATGTAAGTAACACGTAAACTTGCTAGGTTGCATAATATTTTACAAAAGGTGGAAAAATGGTAAAGCAAAATTAAGCAAAAGTGTCTCTGCACACTCCTTGAACAATCATTTTTGGACAATTTGTTTCAACAAGGCTCAATAAAAAGCCATGTTTGAGCACCGTACAAAGAATTCAGCATCAATAAAGCATTAAAGTCACTAAACGCCACCCTCGCACATTAAATAAGTCTTCATTCTCTATAAACTTGAATAAATGGCACACAGTCGCTCTGGAGTTTCTCTTATTATCTCATAAATGGTTGCGGAGTCTAAAGTGTGTGAGCACAGGTCACTCTAGAGCCACGGCCTCCATTGAGTGCTGGACTTTGTCTTCATTAAAGTTTCGCGAAACCATGCCTTTGCATTTCTGTCTGTGAGCAGAATAGAGAGAGAGAGTGTGTGTGTGTGTGTGTGGAGATGACCACTCCACAGCAGCTGTCTGTCCAGCTTGCAGGGGCATCGGCACACAAAAGCCCCTCTCCCCTGGGGCAAGACTCACAGGGCAGGGGTCTAAGACCTCTACAGAGAGAGCACAAGAGCGACAGAATGCAGGAAAGCCAGAGAAAAACACTGGAGGAAGAGAAGGCTGAGTGCTGAGAAAGAAAGAGCGCTTCACCCCCTCACCTTCAGGACCCCTGTTTGTCCCCGAGCGCCCGACGTGTAAGAGAGAATTCCTGAAGAGATCACAACAGGTGCACAGTGGAGAAACGCTGAAAAAAGAGAAAAACAGAGAAAGAAAGGGTGAGAGTGCAACAGGAAGACAAAAAAGACACTTAAGTCCAGTGTGACTTAAAAGAACTGACTCCAGACCTGCTGTCAACAGGTACCATCAAATATTTAATATTAAACATTTAAATTTCCAACATTGATAATAAATCAGCATATTAGAATGATTTCTGAAGAATCTCGTGACACTGAAGACTGGAGTAATTATGCTGAAAATTCAGCTTTGAACACAGAAATAAATTACATTTTAAAGTATATTAAAAAAGAAAAACATTATTTTAATTTGTAATAATATTTCACAGTATTACTGTTTTTTTTCTGTATATTTGATCAAATAAATGCAGCCTTGATGAGCAGAAGAGACTTTTAAAAAACATTAAAAATATGTTTAAAATGTATATAATGTTTTTTTATTTAAAAAAATTATAAACATTAATATAATTATTTACAATGTTAATTTATAAAATTATATTAATGATGACAAATTAAATTTACACATAATTTCCTAAATCAATTTTTTATATTACTACATATTTATTATTATTATTACTATTAACTTTCTATTTTTACAATAAAATATAAATTTTATATTAATTACTATAAACTATTAAGTTAGCTTTTTTTTAAATACACAAATATAATAAAAAAATAACACACACACACACACATATAGATTTATAATTTATTATTGTAATGTATTTTTATATTTATACATTATAATTAATGTTATTTAATAAAAAATATATATAGTAATATATATATATACAGTATATATGTGTGTGTGTATGTATTATATCGATATTAATTATTCATTATATTAATCGATTACTAATTATATTGGCAAAAAAATGACAGATTGATTGGCCTGGTCAGTACCCATCATCACTAATCCTCACTAAACAATCGTAAGAAACACAGGGGCTGATTTTCAACAGTTATTGAGTTGTTCGTTTAAAGGTGAATATAAACATGAGCATCATGGTGTGCGTGTATAAGTCCCTGATCTAGAATCATATCTGATGTTGAGCAGTGATGGATGAGATGTCAGAGGACGGCCTTCGACCGCTGACTCCAGATCAGTGCGTGCATGGAAAACAAGTCCTTTTGTGATGAAGCTCTTCCCACGAGCTTCATCTTACCACCGACACACTCAACACCTGCCACCGGCTTTGTCTTAAAAGCTGAACTTAGTTATTCTGTTTTCTGTGGTTATGTTGAGGGCGGGTCACTTCTGGAGGGTGTGACACTGACATTCAACACTCGATTTTGTTACAGAAGTGTGTTGGAGAGCGCG